AAAATGCTTCAAATGAAAGTTGTAGACATAGGTTTGCTGTAATCTGAGAGAAAGGTGTCCACCTCGTCAGTCTTAATCGAGCAAAACGATTAGACACATCGGATTTGTATGGCCGATCATCGATTGGATTAATGACACCAAATGGAATCGTCAGATTATACCTTTACTCCCATATTACCTTAATTTCTAATAACACCCTCCATTTTTTCTTCCAGCTAACGGAAATTACACGCAATCCTTTTATGATAAGGAACAACAAAATTGAGCTTACGATAACGTAATAATAACAAAGAAAATTGAGCATATGTTCACATGTGTATACGCTAATGATGCAAATGGATTAATAAAAGATATGACGTTTCGTATAATGATTATTACAATAATTGATCAAGTAACTGATACGTTGTTTAATACAGTAATTGATACAAGACAAGAAGAGGTTGAATCGCGATCGATTTGATAATAGGAAGCCGATCAAAGATCGTCGATCCGGGATGATCGATGACGTTCGACGATCCTCACGTGTATGTTTGCGGCGGTTTGCAGTAGTAATAAACTCTTACTTCCGGCCGCAGTAGTAACGCCATTGCGAGAGACGCGACGCGACGACGCGGCCAGAACATAATTGATTGCGTCAACTCACTGCCGGGTGTAATCGGCGCTATATCTTCCACCGGTTCCTCGCCGCTTCCGTTACGCCCGCGACATTAATTTTTCATCGCGTTATCGCCGACCGCGTGCGTCACCGATTTCTCGAACATTGCCATAAATTTGTGAAACGACGTAACGCGTAATTCATAGCCAACACGGCCGGGGCAGGTGGAGTTCTATGTACGATTCCGCGGCCTCTCGCGAGTGATAAGATCGAAGAATATTCGCTGAGATTCGTTGCGATGTTTCCAGTGGAGGTGGACACGGAGTGGAAACCCACGGTTTGTGAATCGTCCGCGCCTGGAGAACGTCGTGTTTATTGATCCCTTGCGGGGCTGACCAACGGTCAATGAGATACGGTCTCTCCCTTGCTGGCCGCCCTACGACCCGAGACTCGGGCCTTGCATCGGTCTCCTTAACGGAAGTACGAACCGACCCCCTCACGCCCGCCCGTTTACCCTCCGCGCAACAACGTGATTCATGCGTTCTCGGACGTTCTACTACCGGGGAATCAACCAAAGAATACAGAATTAGAAAAATCCAAAACTATTTCATAACCCAAACTTATAAACCATTAATTGTATCTGACTCGTTCGTTCCTGAATTAATGGGGAAATTAAAAAGGCAGAAAAGAGTGTGTACAAATATTTTCCCGCTTGTAATGACTTGTACAGTGTCAGAGCGAACATTGAAAAAGTGAATTAAAAGGCAAATGAAGGAATATCTAATCCGGTTGCGAGTACGAGTTGAGATCAACGGGATAACTTTTTTTAATGTCGTGACGCCATAGAAAGATTTGGGTCATCGAGGTGAAGAAACTGTGGCTCGTTTAAAGGCGCAATCGTTATCGCGACGTGTGGAAAAGATGGATTAACGGAGTGCCTAGTGTGAATATAATGAGGCGTTGACTCCTTCGATTAGAAGCCGACACGAGAACGACTGATAGAATTTTTCTTTACCGAATACAATAAGAGAAAGATCGTCCAAATTTCTACCAGCGATGCGTCCTAGCGTCGCGTTCGCGTTGCGTCAGGGAAACGGATGGCGTACCATTTGAACGGTAGCAGAGAATGGAGAATGGTGGAATCGAAAACCGCGAGACAGTAAGGGTGGACTTGGTGCGCAACCGCAACTACAATTGGCCAGCCCTATTCCACCCCTAGGCTCCCACTTTTCGTCGTCCTGACACGCTACCATCCCCTACCATCGAACCAGATTCACCTACGCAAGGATTCGATCTCCCGTGCCACGTGGCTTTAGTAAACAATGGTCGAATTATACTTTGTATACGGAGTTCGTGGAATTTGATTCAGCATCACTAACGAATGCAACCAGGACAGATGATTCTTTAATCAGAGACAGAATGATTCTATAAAGGAAATCATGGCAATCGTGTAGGAATTATGTATAGTCAAGTATCGATCAGGCTTTGTAGAATATAGGTCAAGGCGAATCTTGTTCTATCAGGCATATGGGTCACAGGTGTGTTGATTTGCAAACGCTGCGATGGGACGATAGGATCGTGCATAAGCTTCGGCCACTTTGCCGGATTAAGGGTTGACCCGGCGGCACGAGACGTCGATCGAAATAATACAAGGATTGCACACCGAGCGGTGGCAGAAACGAACGGCCTGGTCACACCTTAAAACCTAGAAATCAGGTTGGGGCGTGGGCCAGCTGCCGGCGTGACGCAACGATAAACGATATCCGATTCTTCCTATCGGCGCCTACATAAAAATAATGAACACCCCGCGGTGCTGAAAGGTTTCCCCGTTAATTGGACCATTTCTCTCTCGGCAACCAATCCCATGGACACGATTCAGTCGAATTGGCCTTGGCTCGTTATACGCTTTGAAAACGTGATCTCTATCGTCGACGTGTGAATGCAATCGCTAAAGATGATTAATAATAAGTAGACCAATAATCACTGCAAGCTTCTTTTTAAGCAGCCAGCCGGGACTGGCGTTGCGTGTGGCCTGCTTAAGGCCTGATCTGGGCCAGATACACAACGATCGTCGAGAGCGTTATACGCAGCTTTCTTATAAATCTTAAACACCTCGACATGCACATGTGTATCGGTACAGAATGTCTGCCAGATCAGATGGCATTAATAAAAAATACATCATTATAAAACTGCATGAATTTTTACCTCAGGCTCTTATAGAATAAATTCTTGTTTTACCTGGGAAAGCCTGTATACGCGAACATGCGTTGTACTTATGTGACGTCCGCCGTTCTTGTGGAACGTGGCTCATGAATATTAAGAATGTGTATACAAGCACCCTCCCTCGGCTAGATTTAATTATACGAGAACGTTACGCGATACAAATGTACGTATCGGGATATTTACTTTTCGCCAATCGCTGCGCGCGTGCTGGACTATCGTTGTCGTAATGCAACGAGATCGGTTTTCTCGTTGGCTCGAGAGGCGAGGAAGAAGGGGTCTGCCGGTTGCGAGTTGGAGATTTGATCTACACATACACGCGATCCTGTGTCTTAAGGACCTTATTTCTTCTTCGTGCCATGTATCTGATTGAACGACCCACTTTCCCGCTCCGCTAGGTGATTAAGACTCTCCTTTTTTTTTACTCAAACAATCTTAAACAGCGTGCATTGTAAGACCGTGATCGGAAAACGAGAACGGCTCCTCCCTCTCGTACGTCTACCCTGTTATAACGTTAATTACCATGCAACCCGCACTCTTATGCAAATGTTCTCATAATCAGCTTTGATTCATATTTAATGGGTATGAAATCTTGCATATCTTATTCATTCTGTGACTATCCTCCATTTCGTTCTTTTGATCTACCGATTTTAAGGAGAATTGTTTGATAGAATTCCTTTTACCTTGAACGTTTTGTAGCTCGACACGACGTACGAGGCTCCGTCCTCGAGTTCGTCCAGGGTGATCTTCCGGTCACCATCCATGGAGAAGATGTGTCTGGCGCCTCTGGGAAGGTCCATCCGGAGGGACAGCCTGTCCAGGAGTGCCTCCAGGGAACCGATGTCCCGTCCCGGCTTGAACCTGCAAATTCATCGACACAATCGATCGACTTCCGTTCACCGAGAGAAAGGGGTGACAGTTGACGCTTACAGGTAATGTCTTTTCTCGTGTCACAGGGAGAATTTCATTCATAAGCCGAAATCAAGGTGAACACGCCACCTGCACCCGTAGAGGGTACTAAGATAAGCGCCGCTTGGTGCAAATTGGTGCCACTTGAGAGATTAGAATAAGGATTCTCTGATTATCGACGAGGGTGAGCTTTTGGTATAGTAAGCGACGGTGAATAGTAACAGTGTTTTGAAACGGACGCACCAGGTGCTACCGCAATCTCTGTTTTCATCGAAGAATCACAGCTACGTAAATCGGATCATCGATTTTTTCGATAACTTTAAACTGTCTTCAAGTTTTCATGTATGGTCCCAAGATTATGAATCATTTCTAGCTCTCAGTTGGTAGCGTGGAAACGAAACGTGGAACTACTCTTCGAGGAAATAAAACGCAGGTGCGTTTCTGTTTGGCTCACCTGAATTCGATGCCGGGGAAGTACGGATCGCCATTTTTGTAGAATGTCACTCGTCTGGCCCTCCAGTATCCGAGGTTGTTGTATCTCGCGGGCGCCGGCTCGTGTCGGCTCTTAGGCCTGTGCTCCGGCTGCTCCGGAGGCGGCATGCGGGGACTGGAGGGTCTGCTCTGCCTCCAGAAGCCGGCCATGCCGCCTCCACCCCCACCCTCGTTCGCCAGAAGACCGCCACCGACCGCCTCCTGCGCCGTTCCACCCTCCACTTCCACGTCTTCTTCCTCGTCTTCGTCCTCCTCCTCTTCCTCCTCGGCCTCCTCCTCGTCGTCTTCCTCATCGGTGCGAGCGCCTCCACCAGGCATCGTCGTCGTCGTCGTCGTCTTAGGGGTGCTGTTGATTCCGTTCACCGCTGACGATGCCGTCGTCGCCGTCGTCGCCTCGACGCCGCTAGGTGTAGTTGCTATTACCACTGAATTCGTTGAGTCCTTCGAGGAGTTCTCGTTCTGCGCCGCCTCCTGCTCCTCTTTCTTCATTACACCTGTGTGCGAACCAAGTCTTACCCTGGACTAACGTTCCTTTCTCACACAATCTTATTTACAATTTTTCCCCTCGAGATGAAAGATTAACTTTTTACAAGAGTTCGTGAAAACAAAAGGAGATTACTACGAAAACAATAATAGTGGAAGAAATTATTTTTCTCTAATATTCATAAGTTTTAATAAAGCGTCCCACAATTTTTTAAAACAATAACTCCGTGTGATATCGGCCAGTTTCAGCTCGTGGTTTGATAAATTCCAAACGAGCAGAGTAAAATTTATCTCGCATCTGGTCTCGATAAGACGAGCAGGGATTACGTGCCAGCGGAGCTTGCGCCGGTTTTTTCAGCCGGTATCGAGGATCTAAAGGCGACCGGTACCCGGTGCACGGATGATGATAGAATCTCGCGGTGGATAATTAACCAGTCTCACCTGGCTCCGAGGTAGTGGTCGCGTCGGCTCCACCAGCCCCGTTGCCGCCGCCCACGCTTCCGTCGCCCGTTACCTCCTCGAATTGCCCCAGCCTGGAGCCGGCACGCAAACTCGAATGATTTTCAGCGGTGATCATCGGCACAAGGCCGCCCGCCTTTCGCCTAATCTCTTCTCGTTTGCCTGGGCGACGATCCGATCCTGTGGATCAGAGAACCGTGCATTCATCTCTAAAGATGCGAGAAGAATAAGAATTGAATTTATTACATTAGCTGGTTCAATTAATTTAATGTATTAATTGCAAGAGATTTCTAGTTTTGACAAATTACAAACTATCATTACACTCCGGTTGAATTATACCTAATAATTAAAGTAATTTAATGGGAGGGCGACGCGAGGGCGAAGAAGTATTGTTACTTCCGCGTAGACCGACGATCGACTAACGCCGACCGACGAGGCGTTCGCGAGGCCCTGATTTCCATACCCAAACCGTGAAATCTCTTGTCAAAAATTGATGGATCGTCGAATTTTTTTTCTTTTCCGTAAGGATTCAAGGTTTCAGATTTTTTTCCGAGTACGTATGACTGCGGAAGAGGATATGAAAATAAGGACCTCCTACGTGTATGCCAAAACGTCCACGTGTCGCGTGATTTGCCGGGGATTCCCGATCGATCTCCCTGCTTACGATGCACTTTTATTTTATAACTGCAGTTTACTGCAGATCAATCGATTGTCCACCTTCATCTTGCTTAATTAACTGGCTCGCCGAATTTCAAGTACACTAGGTAAAAGTGTCAGCTACGAATGGAACATTTCTTACAATTTTTTTTCAATTAATGAATCATTTATACAGAAATATATTAATATGCTTGAATTACTGATTTAAATTTCGTTTTTTACTTTGTTTTGGTATTTCGTTACGATTTTTTTCTTTAACGGCTGGATGCATTGCATTCGAGAAGTGCCTCGTGGTGTCGAGATTAATGTCATGTAATTACACCGCGTTGCACTATGCTACACCTCCAGAAGTTAAGGTCACGAACGCACAATGACTCGCCGGCCGAATAGAGTCTCCTAATTGAATTACACTATCGACGGTAAGTATTAATAGTGACTATTATTTAACAAATCAACTGTGTAATATTGGTAATGTTTAAAGTGTCGCAAAGTATGTAATTTGCTTATACGTACACGAAAGTGAAAGTCAGCCGCAGGAGGTGCAAGTATTCACTGACTGTTAGATCAAAGTCTGTCCCACCGGAAGTTCAACACCATCGACCTCCTTCACTTCACCCTTGGTCCCAACATGGTCACCGTCCATCACAAACCGTCGGAATCGAGAAACATAGAAAATCTATCATACCAAACTGTTTTCAGGAAATCGTTCTGCCCGACTGGAACTGGTCACCAATTTTCGCGGGTTCAGAGCGGAATAAAAGATAAGAGTCCATCGACACCGAGACTCTCATTCGACCGCGAGATAACCGAGGGTTGCCGTATACATATTCATGCGTCCTTCGACGATGGCGTCCCGACGTCGAGTGTGTCGCTCGGTGGGACAGCCACGAACCACGCTACCTCGGCGCCGCCGTCGTCGTCGACGACGCTGGCCAAAGGAAAGGAGAAACGGCGACGTTTCGCCCGGCATCGACGCCCCGTGTCAGTGAACCGACGCCACGACCCTCGACGCCGGCGAAACGAGCACCGAACTTGTTGCACTGTGGCCACCCAAGTATTTTTCTCTAATATTCATAAGTTTTAATAAAGCGTCCCACAATTTTTTAAAACAATAACTCCGTGTGATATCGGCCAGTTTCAGCTCGTGGTTTGATAAATTCCAAACGAGCAGAGTAAAATTTATCTCGCATCTGGTCTCGATAAGACGAGCAGGGATTACGTGCCAGCGGAGCTTGCGCCGGTTTTTTCAGCCGGTATCGAGGATCTAAAGGCGACCGGTACCCGGTGCACGGATGATGATAGAATCTCGCGGTGGATAATTAACCAGTCTCACCTGGCTCCGAGGTAGTGGTCGCGTCGGCTCCACCAGCCCCGTTGCCGCCGCCCACGCTTCCGTCGCCCGTTACCTCCTCGAATTGCCCCAGCCTGGAGCCGGCACGCAAACTCGAATGATTTTCAGCGGTGATCATCGGCACAAGGCCGCCCGCCTTTCGCCTAATCTCTTCTCGTTTGCCTGGGCGACGATCCGATCCTGTGGATCAGAGAACCGTGCATTCATCTCTAAAGATGCGAGAAGAATAAGAATTGAATTTATTACATTAGCTGGTTCAATTAATTTAATGTATTAATTGCAAGAGATTTCTAGTTTTGACAAATTACAAACTATCATTACACTCCGGTTGAATTATACCTAATAATTAAAGTAATTTAATGGGAGGGCGACGCGAGGGCGAAGAAGTATTGTTACTTCCGCGTAGACCGACGATCGACTAACGCCGACCGACGAGGCGTTCGCGAGGCCCTGATTTCCATACCCAAACCGTGAAATCTCTTGTCAAAAATTGATGGATCGTCGAATTTTTTTTCTTTTCCGTAAGGATTCAAGGTTTCAGATTTTTTTCCGAGTACGTATGACTGCGGAAGAGGATATGAAAATAAGGACCTCCTACGTGTATGCCAAAACGTCCACGTGTCGCGTGATTTGCCGGGGATTCCCGATCGATCTCCCTGCTTACGATGCACTTTTATTTTATAACTGCAGTTTACTGCAGATCAATCGATTGTCCACCTTCATCTTGCTTAATTAACTGGCTCGCCGAATTTCAAGTACACTAGGTAAAAGTGTCAGCTACGAATGGAACATTTCTTACAATTTTTTTTCAATTAATGAATCATTTATACAGAAATATATTAATATGCTTGAATTACTGATTTAAATTTCGTTTTTTACTTTGTTTTGGTATTTCGTTACGATTTTTTTCTTTAACGGCTGGATGCATTGCATTCGAGAAGTGCCTCGTGGTGTCGAGATTAATGTCATGTAATTACACCGCGTTGCACTATGCTACACCTCCAGAAGTTAAGGTCACGAACGCACAATGACTCGCCGGCCGAATAGAGTCTCCTAATTGAATTACACTATCGACGGTAAGTATTAATAGTGACTATTATTTAACAAATCAACTGTGTAATATTGGTAATGTTTAAAGTGTCGCAAAGTATGTAATTTGCTTATACGTACACGAAAGTGAAAGTCAGCCGCAGGAGGTGCAAGTATTCACTGACTGTTAGATCAAAGTCTGTCCCACCGGAAGTTCAACACCATCGACCTCCTTCACTTCACCCTTGGTCCCAACATGGTCACCGTCCATCACAAACCGTCGGAATCGAGAAACATAGAAAATCTATCATACCAAACTGTTTTCAGGAAATCGTTCTGCCCGACTGGAACTGGTCACCAATTTTCGCGGGTTCAGAGCGGAATAAAAGATAAGAGTCCATCGACACCGAGACTCTCATTCGACCGCGAGATAACCGAGGGTTGCCGTATACATATTCATGCGTCCTTCGACGATGGCGTCCCGACGTCGAGTGTGTCGCTCGGTGGGACAGCCACGAACCACGCTACCTCGGCGCCGCCGTCGTCGTCGACGACGCTGGCCAAAGGAAAGGAGAAACGGCGACGTTTCGCCCGGCATCGACGCCCCGTGTCAGTGAACCGACGCCACGACCCTCGACGCCGGCGAAACGAGCACCGAACTTGTTGCACTGTGGCCACCCAAGAGCCTACGCGCAACCCCTGTCTTCTTACCACAAAACGTTTCTCCATCGAATCATTCCGAATAGAAACTCCATAAAATTATAAAATTATTAATAAATCGCAGATTTTTATACACAAAATCTGATTTGTTCATTTTCCTTCATCATTTCATGATTGCAACATGTGTAGAGCTTTTCTTATTTAATATATTTTTATACGTTATAAGACTAGTAAGAGCACAGAAATTTTATGAAAGGGAAGGACATGGCAAACTGGAGGCAGATTGAACTTGAAGGCATTTCGTGTGGGCGGAAAAAAGAAATGAATTTATAATCACAGGCGTGATATTTCGCAACAACATCGTGAATATCATGGATGTTATGAAAAAATTCTAAAAAAGAAACCTGGACAGGTGGTATACACGGTTTTGCGTGCAGAAAATTGCGACCTCTGAGAAATCACGGGAAAACCGTGGCCGTTTCGTATTTAAAGATTTCGCTTGGGAACGTGACGGAGTATTTGCATACCCAGCGTGCGATGTCCGTCGTTTAATACCTCATAAATGTCGAACAATTATAATCTCGTCTGGGTTCGAACCACGTGTAACACAATTCGGATCGAATTTTTTTTCTTTAATACCGAGAAACCGCATACTAGGTCGAGTGGAACTGTAATAATTACTAGCACGAACGGCTTCGGTACGAATATTTAACGTTCTAAAAGCTGAGACGTTTCACAAGACTCTGTTAAATCCTCAGGAAATGTGTTAGAACGGATTCTGGATTATCAAAAATGAATCGATCATTATTAGAAGAAAATTGACCGGTTCGTGGGGGAAGGGTGAAGCGAAAGTTTGATTGATGGCGGTAATCGAATGGGTAAAACGATTCCAGAGTTGTTTAACATGCTCCACTTTTCGTATCCGATATCTTTTTTCAAACAATCCCGGACGGTTTGCATTTCTTCGAGCTGGAAACGTCGGTCTTATCAGAACGGCGGCGCAACGGCTAGGATGATTAGCCGCATGAACCTTAAGAATTGCAGAATGCACGATATGAACTCCGAGATACAGCCGAAGGTCGGACGAAAACTGGCTGCCAATGTTAACATCGCGGACAACCCTGATTTTGCATAAAAATTTCTGAATCGAGTATCTCGCCGAGTTTTGCGCCACGCGAAACTATTACAGGAATTTATTACCATGATTCCGTGTCAACTCCATGGAAAATATTGTTACTATTTGTTGAAAAGTAATTTATATTTATTTTTAATCAACTGACATAGCTAATTGTTTTATTACAATGGTCATCTTTATAATATTCGCAGGTTGTAACGGCAAGTAGTCGATACTTTGGTGGGGTTTGCGTGTTCACGGCGAAAGGCGGCTGACCAGATTCGTTCCTCGACCACTTAAGTAATCGAGCGGCCGAGCGGCTCGTATATCACGGTAAGCGTGAATCAGCGGGATTCGGTATTCGTTAAATCCCAACAAATCCCTCACGATTGTCTCTGTTCATTTTATTCCACAGCGAGAATCGAAAAAGGTAGCAAAAAACGCTATTATCTATTAACAGTAAAATTGTTTCCCTTATCTAGAAGCGCTTCAACAATTGGCATTGAATCTCGTATACTGTCGCATCGCGTATGTAAGTATACGTCGATATTTTTCAAGGATAAGGGACGAAATGAGCAGTCTTGCTCCCTTGTCCTTGAAGAAACTGGATATTGTCCAATATATGTACGGATATCAGATGAAAACATTTTACCGAAATAATTGCTGTCACGCTTCGAGTCCAGTTGAAATCCAGAGACCAAGCAGGTCAACGCGTTTCGTGTCACGATACCCGCTAGAAGAAAAGGAAGGCTTTACAGTACTCGAAAGAAACGTGTCTCTACGATTTCACGCGATATCCCTGACGTTCCGGAAGTCAAGAGCAACCCCACATAATATCGACTTTGTAATAACGATGAAAGGGTCGTTGGTCGAAAGCTAAAGCGCCCGATTGCTTCCCTTTTCTTTTCCTCGTTTATTACAGTCACAGGATCGTCGAGACCGCGTCGGTGATAAGAAGCTTGAATGATATCATAAATGTCACGAAGCAGCGTGGTCGGACTTTAATCAGCCCTCGTTGTTCTATAAATGAGTGCATAAAAAATATAGTATCCTATGATTTAAACAGTTTTATTGAAAAATAACTACGTCCCAGTATACGATTAGTTAATCTGATTGAGGGAAATTAATACTGTTCATTAATAATCGATATTATTCAAGAAAGAGCTGTTTTTCAATCGATATTTGTTTCACGCAATTAGAATGTTGTTATTGCATAAAGGGTACGGAGTAATAAATGACGTTTCTAAACGCGACACGCGTCTCGGAGTGAAACGATCATTACAGTGATTTAGATACCGTTTTTGCCCTCTGCCGCCCGTGTTCGATGCTTTCACCCTACAGTTGAGTGGCCTCCACTTATCCTGCTGCCATCGCTGTCTTCCTTGCTTCCACGCTATACGCCACTGTTGTTGTACATTAATTACTATCGCCCATGCCATTGTGCATACTATGCGGTAACTCCTTAATTTCTTGATTAAATAGAAAATGCTGTCGGATAACATCTTACGTACAAATTGCCTTGTTACAAATTTTAAATTTAATTGAGCGCCTGTGCGCGAACTAATAATTTTTTAAATCACTTGTACTCGTTCGTGAAAGTGTTACAGATTGATATTTGCATTTCTCTGGCTGTTGTAATGATGCCAGATTAAGCTGTTATCATGCACGTAATTAATGAGGTAATTGGTATTATCGCGATATCATTGAATATTAACAGGATCCGTATGAAGGCAGTTTATCAAGAGATCCTTATCGGCGGGTGAATCTAAAGACCTTGTATGCCAGGGCAACGCGACAAGCTGCAGAAAACATTCACATGGAACGTATTTGGTTCCGAGAATACACCGAGATAAGGCGCGGTACGTGGCAAGGGCTTATTTTTCATCGGTCATCGAGGAAACATTCTGTAGATCATAAGGATTATCAGTAATGTTTCAACGGTATCCTCGAGGCTACGGTTCGGCATGATATTAGAGCATGTTTCATATTTTGAGCCGGTCGCTTTTCTATTTCTGGGCCAAGAGGAAAAATACTATTAGGTTGAAACCAGGCACGGAACGGTGTTAATTTATTAGCCAGTCGTTCTTTCCACTCTCGGAAAGCATTATCCGCCAACGTAAATATGAACTATTAAAAATATAAAAAGAAAATATTTATACAAAATATCATTTTCCGTTTTTTAGTGGAATTTGAAATTTTGACCCGAATAGTAATGAGAAATCTTGTCCGAAAGTCTTGTTACGTGATGCGTGCTCGGTATTTCGTGCCGCGAAGAAACATTACGCGACACCACGATAAAGGCACGTCGATCTCATTCTGATAATACATAAGTAATGGGAAGAATATATTTTTTTTTAAATAACATAATGAGGGAAAGAAACATTATTTATTCTTCGATTCGTCAATATACATTTATTATTTCTTCAATATCAAAAAAGAACATGATCATGCTAGACTATCTTCCTGTATGGTTCTTGCCATTTTTTTTTATACTTTAAACGAACCAGAAAATCGACGTTACTATACGATATTTTTCTTAATTATAACTTCGCTATCCTCATTATCAGAAGAATCATTAGCTTCGATATTTTTTATCGAATCATTAATTTTTTCATGTTAATATTCGTAACTTATACGTCTCTTTCACAATTCGTTACGTGGCATCGTACGGCTTACCACGTTCTTTGCGTTTGTATTCCGGCAGGGGTACGTCAAAGTCTCGTTCGAATACTGCAACGAAGAAGCCGTTACAGAGATCAGATTCAAATTTCGCATAAAGGCACGTGTTCGAGCAATTGTACTTCCTCGAGCTGAAGTTCAGCCATTCTTGTTCTAATAATTCCTTGATAGGTACAAGTTTGTATGCATTCTGCACATTCATTAGAATTTCATCTATCACTTTTTCATTTTCTTCGGGATTGATGGAACAAGTGCTGTAGACGACCCTCTTCGCTTTGCAGAAATTCAATAAACCGTGGCGTAGCAGGAAAACTTGGAACGCTCGCAATTGCCTCAATCGTGCAGGATTGCATTTCTCTTTACCATGTATCACCTCCCTGTCGTGCATACCTGTAACGAGTCTTACTGAAAATTCTGAATACATTCAATTTTCATACCATCGTTCGATACTTTACCTGAACCAGAACACGTTGGATCGACTAGAATATATTCGACGTCGGGACACTCGTCTGGCTCTAGTTCTAACGCGTCTTTTTTTATAGTTTTAACGCAAGTCGCTCCCGTCTTGTTCACCTGCGAGCATAAACTCTCAAATCGCCGATCGTTGATCTCCGTCGCGTAAATTTTTCTGTGAACATAAAAGGAAATTGATTAAGAATAAAATACAGAATATTAGTTCTAAAATAACATACCCAGTGTTTTCCATTAGTGCAGCTAAGTGAGTTGTTTTCATTCCAGGAGCTGCGCACATGTCGAGCACCACAGATCCGGGTGGCGGATTCAACAATTTCGATGGAAGACAACTTGCCTAAGAACAAAACATAAAGTGAACACGTTTTCTAAAAATAAAGTAACGATGTTTTCTGTTTTCTATTTAACTTTCTAAAAATTACCTTGTCTTGTAAAATAATTTCTCCGTTTTGATATCCAGGATGATCAAAGAAAGTTGTCTTATGTGGGAAAACAAGTAATTCCGGGACGTGGAAGTCTTGTATGAAATTTGGTTTCTCTAGAGTTTTTACGACATTTAAATGTTCTACATAACTCGAACATCTTGGAACGAGAGACCAGCCTTCGGCTTGGAAATAAGATATCCCCTTTTCTAATGGCACTACTATAGTGTTAATACGAACGTATCTTGGTTTCTTCACTGGAAATAAAAGGAAAGATTGTTTCTTTTAATAATCGTGCGAAGGTGCTTCTAATTAAAACTCGTATTATTTCATCGAATCATTTATTGTTAAGTACATACTATATTGGACATACTATATTATGTCCAATTCTGGCATTAACAGTAAAAAAGTATAGGAATATACGAATCACATATGTCAATATATATTCATTACAAATATGTTAATAACATATCTAAATATTAATATACGTTTGTAATATAAATATGATCAGTTTTTTTTAATACAGTACAAGAACTTAACATCTAATCAATTTTTTCATTCAGACTCTCCTTAGAAGAGTGATCATCAGTTATAGTCTCATCGTTAGGCTCTTGAAAAGCCTGATAAATGTAAAAAGCTATTATCAAGTTGACTGTGATCACCGCGGCAGACACAGAAATGCAATTCGTTACGAATCTATCTACATGGAATTCGGTGTTCATAATGTGTTGTACACCAAAAAATGAAGCGAATGGTAATGTAAACATCGCACAGCTGTATAGAAACAGTTTGCTCAGCACACCCACAAAACTCATGACTGGTTGCACTTGATCTTTACTTTGATCAGAAGAAATCTCTTTGTGACTCTGTTTCTGTTGACTTTTGTTCATATAAGAGAAAAGTCTTTTAAATTTAGGGTGTCGACTAGAAAGTATTCGGTTGTTGCGGATGATTAAAACCATCAATCCTGATGAGAGATTCCGTTACAAAGAAACAGGCTTAATATATCTCAAAATCGAAGCTGGCCGTGGGCATTACTTCCCTCGCACACGAATGTCCCATTTCTGCAAGCACAAATCGCACTGTTAAATAAATAAAACGAGTTTTACCTGATACGTCGAGCGATCGAGAAGGCGCAGTATCGTCGGTGTCTTTCAACGCAGCCTTCAACTTTTCTTTATAACATAGTATAGTTGTGATAGGTTTCGCTTTGCCTTTCAAATCCTTTTTGCCCCAGAGCAACTCTGTTATCAGGACTTTCGCTAGCCACGGATCGAAACGCGGTTCGTTCACCAGTAAATCAGTTTTCTTTATCAGCTGTTCTATTTGCTCTTCCCTTTTCAAAGTATTGATGCACAAAGAATATATCGCGGAGACGTTCTAAATCATTGAATAAAATCATTCTTTAAGTAAATAATAGAAATGAATTGTACACGTCTTCAAGTACACGTGTTTAGGATATCTCGGAATGATCGTAAAAAATAATCCAAACAATGTACTTCGTGTACGTTACGTACAGTGTCACGTCAATTTTGCTTGTACTATTTAATGACTTTATATGTTTATTTCTCAAGATTATTAGCATTAACTTACAGGATGATTCTGTTGATAAATCAACGATTTAAGACTGCCACTATTCTCACGAACCTCCCGAACGATTTTCGTAGCAGTCTTGTAAAGTCTCGGAACTTTGACGGAATGTACGAATTTCTTAGACATTTTAACACATTGAAAGCTAATAACTCCGCAACGTCAAGTTCAATTACGTACAACTACTTCCCCGTAAATTGATCAGTTCTATATAACATGGATTTCGTACCTCGGGTACCTCGTGCGTGTAAAACGAAACAATTCACGTGTCAGCCATTGAGCAGAAGATGCGCATAAGCCGCGTGAGCCATCGATCAGCATGAAGCCAGAAGATCATTTTCACACAGAATAAACTTTTCATAGTTCACCTAATGTTAATCGCACAGAAATATTATTATTCTTTTAAACAAGGTAAGAATCTCTCTACGTATTCATATTATGAATTATTTTTGAAATCATTAAAGAATTCTTATATTCCTTATATGATTTTTAATAAGATTCTAAATTTTTAAAGAGGATAAATGATTTTTTTAACTGACGTAACTATAATATTGTGGCATCGATAATCACGGATGTAATTGTTCAATATAAGAATTGGCCTTCATCGAGTGTCACGTGTTTCCGATCAGTCCGCATACGAACTTCTTCTAATGTTACTTCGTTGCTTCCTTCTACTTAGTAATTCGTTAGATATTTAGTAATCTCGAAATGTTATTCACTGGTTTACGCGCGATTTAACTTATACAAGGCTAGAAATATGATATTAGGAGAACTGTAGTTATTAACGGTAAGATTTCTAAGTTCTCTAGTCCATAGAATCTCGCATCGGTGCAGGTTATATTTCAGTATACGATCATAAATGTAATCCTGATTTTTAACAAATTTTGTTTTCTATGAACATAACTGTACTGACAATCATTAGACTATATCTATTGTTACATTTTTGTGTATACTCGTATGCGTCGTTATTCGGCAGCCAGACACAAAAGCGTAGAAGAATCTGTCGCAATCGTCGTGTATAAAACGTACACATCAAATTATCAGAATTTATAAATATCGCGTCTAGCATATAAGCTCATTCATTGAACATATAGAGACGTTCTACTTCCTTGTGTATACAATAAGAAAAAATGATCCCATTTAGGCTTTAATATGGTTTGCGAAAATATATTTTTAATTCATAGCGTTATAAATGTTAAGTCCGGTATAAAAATGGTGTTTTAGAAGATTTGGACTAAGGGAGATACTGAAAAGTTACGTCTCATTCATATTGTGACAAAGGACACTTCAATGACTAAAGACAAAAAGGTTTTACTGCCTCGTATATAAATGTTCAGTAGTGCTTATTATGTGCGATAGATTTCACATGTATCTACACTCACGATCGCACAGACTGTTGACAATATGTTAATATCTGTACTTTCATTTTATTCAAACTGTACAAGTTCCAATATGAAAATATGTAGTACCTCGATGGCTTATCTTTTATTTCTCTGTGTTATACTGTTCCTTAATATGTATCTACAATATCAGTTGTATTTCTTCCTTTATGTTTCATTTTCATAGTTGACTAAGTTAGTTGAAGTATCGCAGTGTGCTTAATGTATACATATATGCAATTGACCTGTAAGATTCTGCATAATTACATATAAATATGTATATATATAATTATGTAAATAGACATTGCTCCTAGAAGGTGTTTAATTATTGCTTTTTTTATGATTTCAGTTGGTCCTGCATGCTGTGCACTGCATCATCGTCCTGCCCAAAACATTGCACTGTATTTTTTCTTAAGTTTGCCAAAAAAATATTATATATACAATAAATTAACTAAGGAATGGCTGCCTACATCAATCGTACAATGTCCATGATTGGAGGAGACAGCCACATAAGAACGACAGATATACGAACTGATAATTCTCCCCTTCAGATTTTTGTTAAGGCCAAGAAAAAGATCAATGACATATTCGTGGAGATAGACGATTATGTGCAGGACACTGTGGGGTTTATGAAATCGTTGCAAAGCGATCGTAATATCGTTACCAAAGAAGAAGCAGAGAGAATTGCGAGCTATGTCGACAAAGTCCATGCAATCAGAGATGTACTTAAAAGGGATCACATGAAGGTTGCATTTTTCGGGAGGACTAGCAATGGGAAGAGTACAGTTATCAATGCGATGCTACGCGACAAAATTTTGCCAAGCGGCATAGGACATACGACGAATTGTTTCTTGCAAGTCGAAGGTTCGGAAAATGGTGAATCTTACTTGATCACCGAAGGCTCGGCAGAGAAGCAACCGGTCCAGTCAGTCGGCCAGTTGGGCCATGCTCTCTGTAAAGAAAAATTGTGCGAAAGTCATTTAGTGAGAATATTTTGGCCAAAAGAGAAATGTTTGCTGTTACGAGACGACGTAGTCTTTGTAGACAGCCCTGGGGTGGATGTGACACCTAATCTGGATGAGTGGATAGATAAGCATTGTTTGGATGCAGACGTCTTTGTTTTGGTAGCCAATGCTGAATCTACTCTAATGGTGACCGTAAGTACCACGAGTATCTTTTTCATTTCTTTCCGATTGTACAACGTGCATGTAATAATAATAATTTAATTACAGGAGAAGAACTTCTTCCACAAAGTGTCTACAAAATTATCCAAGCCAAATATCTTTATTCTAAATAATAGGTGGGATGCATCTGCTTCGGAACCAGAATTCTTTGAACAGGTATACATTATATAAAGTTTTACTTGTAGATATTTTATAAATATAAGTTTCGTAGTCATTTAATCCAATTGGTAAATGACTTGATTTTCTCACGTAAGAACATTTTGTATATTTTTTTAATTAAAGCTGGTACTACATATTAAGGTTCTTGTCTATTTGCACGTAAGCAATCTAGAATGTAAAAGCGAAGCACAAATTCATTGATAATTAGCTGTATGCAGTGGCAGCTTTACACAAATAATTCATATAATACCCATTTATCCCAATAGCAGGTCAAGGAGCAGAAAGAAGTAAGTTACTTTTTTGTACATTTTTTATATATTTATGTTTCGTACACTGTAAACGTTTTATTTTGATCACAAATGAAGTTCTGATGCACTAGACGGTATATGATGTGCACAGCATGAAGTTAAAATAGAATATTTTTAAGAAGTTTAATTAATTTTGTGCTTGCAATACACGACACAAATCTTAATATGTGCTTCCCGCTTCTCCCATTATTTCAAAGTATATAATGTAACTTATTTTTATTTCGTTCTTGTGTGTGCTAGGTAAGGGCACAGCATCAAGAACGGGCTGTCGATTTCTTGGCAAGGGAGTTAAAAGTTTACACGGCTAAAGATGCCGAGGAACGGGTATTCTTTATATCTGCCAAGGAAACTCTTCAAGCTCGTATGCAAGAACAACGTGGTCAACCCGCTCACAGTAAACTATTTTTTCTCTCACGTACAGATCGCACGAACGATTTGAATTTAACATACGTGGAACTCTTTTCTAGACGGCGCTTTAGCAGAAGGATTTCAGAATCGTTATTTCGAATTCCAAGATTTCGAACGAAAATTCGAAGAGTGTATCTCGAAGTCTGCTGTGAAGACGAAGTTCGAGCAGCATTCTGACCGCGGGAAACATATCGCCATGTATGTAGCTTAAATATTTCGCATTTATTTGTCACAGTTTTAATTTGTCGAATTAATTTTTACAGGGAAATTAGGCAAACGCTGGACGAAATACTGGATCGAACGCAAAAAATGAAAAGCGAACAATTACTTATTAAGAAAGATGTACATGACAAATTGAATTACACAGAACAACAATTATTGTCGCTGACTCAGGAGATGAAAGACAAGATTCATCACATGGTTGAAGACGTAGAGCAAAGAGTGTCCAAAGCTCTGAGCGAAGAAATTCGTAGATTAGCTGTACTTGTCGACGAATTTAGTGTACCGTTCCATACTGAGCCATTAGTACTAAATGTATATAAACGAGAACTTCATTCACACGTAGAAAATGGTTTAGGTAAGGACTATCATTTTTTTGGACTTGTTTACTTTTCGCGTTCAATTCTCGACAGAATAATCAATCGCTTAATTTCATAGGTTCAAATTTAAGAGCGAGACTCAGTACTGCGTTGGCACTGAATATAGAACACTCACAGCGAGAGATGACAGAACGAATGGCAAGCTTATTGCCGGAGAACAAAAGACAAATGTCTTTGAACATTTTGCCGAGGCGGGAGCCATTCGAAATTTTGTACAAGTTAAATTGCGACAATTTGTGCGCAGACTTCCACGAGAATTTAGAGTTCCGATTCTCCTGGGGAATCACAGCCATAATTAATAGATTCGCGGGTAGACAGGGGAAGAAATTAGCTATCGCTAATTATCCGCAAGAGGTGCACAATTTATCTCGTATTTATAAAACTTATTAACAATAAATCATTATTTAATTTGCATGTTTGTAGATACCACCGACAGTTATGTCTCCTACGGGCAGTGTAGATTCTGTCAAATTCATGTCGAGTGCTCCGAGCTATCAGCCGAGATCAGACGATTGGTCATTGGCTACTAAAATCGCAGTGGCGTCTATAACGTCTCAGGGTACAATGGGTGGACTTATAGTTGCTGGCTTCGTAAGTACACACGAATTTAGGCTTCGACGTGCCAAAGTTTCTTTGTTTTTAAGTTGTTTCTAAGTTGTTTCTAAGTTGTTTTACTTTTAAGATGTTGAAGACGATCGGTTGGAGACTTATAGCTGTCACCGGTACTATATACGGTGCATTATATCTTTACGAACGACTAACGTGGACTAATCGAGCAAAGGAACGAGAATTCAAACGACAATACGTGAATCACGCGACAAATAAGTTGAAACTGATAGTGGATCTGACGTCCGCGAATTGCAGCCACCAAGTGCAACAGTAAGCGATCGGATTGTACCGATGATTGTTCGTTTTCAGGGAATAATTATTACGGTGCTTTTGTACGATTGCAGAGAGTTGTCTAGTACTTTCGCACGTCTGTGCCATTTAGTGGACGAGACGACCACCGAAATGGATAGCGAACTAAAGAACATTGCTAGTACAATACGGATACTCGAAGAGGCGACCAGTAGCGCGAAAGTTTTACGGAACAAGGCTAATTATTTAACGAACGAACTAGATTTATTTGACGCAGCATACTTGAAGTCATTGAACTAAACATTGAACGACCGTTTGTTTTTAGGAAATAATACAATTTACTAAAGGACGATGTTCGATAACATCGCTGTTTCGGGAAATACGTTCACGCGTAACAATATAAACATATGCTTGTACGTGTTTCCCGAAATAATCAATCGTGCGTATAGAAGGAATGTTTTTACAGAAACTTCTAGTCTTAAATGCAGGCAACCTCGACTTTTCTCAATTTGTGATCCCTCATTTTAAAGGAACTTTTTTTATCGGATTCGAGCCAGCAGAATAATTTCTTTTATAAAGAGCTCAAGCACAAAAATAATCCTACGTAGATTACCGATCAATTTTCGATGTATTTTTGTTTTCAACAATCTATTTTGAAAACGGATCAATCGCTAGGGAAAGAACACATTACATTTTTTTGCAAAAGCAACTTTAATTTTAAACAGAGATCAACCAACAATCGATTTATATTCAAATGTATTAAGAGGATGTGCGAATCTATTATGTAGTGAATGAAATAATGCAACTGCTAGATTTATTAGATTATATTTACAAAGAGCTTATGTTGTATTAATAAAAAGTTATTTGTTGAGTAAAAACTACCCCACAGTTCCACGTATCGATTGTGTTATGCATTTGCATTACCTCGAGCGAAGGAAGGATTATGTAAAAATTCGTGGGTACGGTGTGTGCGTACGTATTGATTATAATCAACGTGCGAAGTGAAAAGCAATCGTTGCGATACGTAACCCCGTGGAAACATGTGAGGACGTCGTGGAGATGGAACGAATATGTAATTACGCGCAAATAAAACGATCTAACAATGTAGTCCGATTATTCAGCGCAGTAAGCTCTTCGTTTATCGCGCGACACGAATTCTTGTCGATTCTATTTACATTCATCATTTCTATTTCAAACAGAAAGTGTCTCCTAACCTAAAGCTTCCCACGCCTTCGGCACATTGCGATTTGATCGGGCCGCCTGATCCGATTTCGAATATACGACCGATCATTGTCGCGAGATCCGAGAATGAAAGTAAATTGGAGAAGATTTATAGAGAAGCCAGAGAGGACACACAAACCTGGAATCAACATTTCTGGACGAAACACAACATTAGGTTTATCAAGGTATGCTTGAATCTTACGGATTAGAATGTGAGGAAAAATTCATATTTCATTCTAAGATATACGATTGTATTTCGCAGGAACGTAAACAATTCCAGGAGAATTTAAAGAAGGAAGGGAAAACTTCGATCACTGCTGATGACATGTCAGTGTTTTATAAAGAATTTTTGGACAAGAATTGGCACACACATTTCAATTATAACATCGCTTGGTACAGGAGAAATATTAAATTACTGTTCCTCGAGTTTGGGGTAAGAATATCTAAATTGAAATTTAGGTGATTGACAGTATTCTTTGAACATAGTGTATTGTACATATTTACAATGTAAATCTCTATTTATGATTTATTTGTAAGCTGTTAAGAGTAAAATATATATGTATACATGATATACGTAAATACTGTCCGATGTTTATTCACACGTAATTCGATTGAGAAGTCATGTACATATTCATCAACTTTCAATGCAACATTTCGTTAACGCAAACAATGACAATTACTAAATTTATGTCAATCACACTACATAACCGTTCTGACATAACTGATTTCTTAAACATCCTATCTCATGATCTTTTCTCTCCACAATCAAAGCCATGTATCTGTATTGTTTCCTCTGACAGACAAGTTTCTTTTGATATTCTTTCATGCACTGTTGCAATTTCTGATAAGTGAATTTGGCAATTGCAACGGCTCTTTGTTTCTCCTTTCTCAAATATTCTATTTCATTCATAAGAGCTTTACATTGTTCACACGGTGACGAATACACTCGACTTAATTTATCATCAGCTGCGCCTAACGTTACTTGCAAAGATACATTCCTTTCTCTCTCTATGTGCAATTCCTCTTTCATTTGATCAAATTCAGAAGCAACTTCCTGTATCATATCTTGACTATCAAGCAATAACTAGAAAATACGTTATAAATAATACCTTAGTTGTAATTTGAAATGCATGCATTACCTTTTTTTGCTTCGTAATTGTTCTAGTCTGATCCTCGATAATCTTCTCCTTTATCCTCAATTCGGATGAATACTGTTCCTTAACAGTATCCAATTCTCGTTTGAGACAATCGCAAGTCTTCAGTTCTTCGCACAAACACTTCGCCAAGTCCTCTATCTTTCCTTCCATTTCTTCTTTATTAGCGTCATTCGTTTGTAACGCTTCTCTCGCCTCTTCTAATTGAACATTCTTCGAATACAACTCAAATTAATGTCGTTTTCTAATTTCACGCTTTTCCAAGTAATACCTTTTCATGTAATTTCTCATCCTTTTGCCGTAACTCTTTATTCTTCTTCAATAATTCTTTTTCCTTCTTATGAATGTCCTGTTGCTGAGTATTACAAATACAAGTCACTTCGCATAGCCTTCTCTTTTGTATGTTAATCACGTTCGAGAGTTCTAAAATCATTTCTCTCAACTCCGTTTTCTCCTTACTCAAAGCATCTTCCTTCTCCTTTACAGCACTCTTCATCTTATTTATTTCTCTCTCAAGCTCTTCGCACCTTGTATCGAATTTATATATTTAATATTTGAATACAGGTTCGCCAGAAAGTAATCTAAACAACCTTTTCGATTCGTCTTCCGACAGAGACTGCAATCTGTTCGTTAAATCGTCGCGTTCTTTCAACAAATTTTTATTCAAATCTTCGATCTCGCTTATTTGCCGCTAAAAATGCAATTATTCTACTGTTAATGATAATCATATATTTCACGTACACCTACTTGCAATCTCGCGATTTCGCTCAATAACTGCTCCCTATCCTCTTTTATTATATCTGTCTGATCTTTCGTTCGTTTCACCAAGTCCATCGCAACATTTTTTTGCTCTTCCGCTGTCTCTAATGCACCTTTCAAACAAGCCGCTCTTTGTTCACTGTCCTCCTTCAAACAATCCAAACTGCAAGTCAGATTGTTCAGTTTCATCTGGAGTTCCTCGCAGCGTTTTTTCTCCATTATTAACTCCTGCGATATTACGCACCGTCGTGAATTTAAATACGTCGACGGTGAGTGTGATAATCGATCTTTATAAATAAAACCTTCTGAATTATTTCGAAGATCTCCTTGTCCTTCGCGCAAATACTTTCGATACTGTTATGAGAAAGTCCATCGTATGTGACGACGAGGGAACCCAATAATTCATCTCCGAGGTGATGCGTGGCTTGTTCGTGTCGTACATTGATTATACTCGATCCATTGTTAACAATATCTCTCGTCGGTTCGGTTTGCTCGCCCTTCTCTTCGTACGTGTCCATTATTTCGTCTCTGGTATGTGTTTTGTATATTTCCGTAGCCAAGTCCACTTGGTCGGATTTGCTCTGCCTATCAGGCTGTTGCGATTTTTTATTAACCACTTGCACGTCCCTCGTCACCTGTGCATCTTTTTGAAGCTTCATAAGATCCTGAACCGGTACAAGATCTTGACAAAATAAACGCGTAAACGTTAATCTGGAATGTCGAGTAATTACAGTCCCACAGAAGCTATACCTTCGGCTAATGGAGAATTTTTATACGCATTCAATTTCCTTCGCGTTTTGCACGTTTCAGAATTACACGGTATTCTCCTTTTAGGCTTCTCGTACGGTAAACATTCTTCTACACAACTTTTTGCGCATTGTTCCTTCAATGCATAAATTCGTTTGGTACAGTAACAACATTTACCGAAATCACTGTATAAACTGCACTACGAGTACATAAAGTAAAAGACAAGGTGTTAAATGAACGAATGATCGTTTTCGTTGTTTGAACATATATTTACTTTTTTACATGTTGCGTACGAATCATAGTCTCCCTCCATCCTTTGCAATTTTGAAATGGCAACGAGTTGTCTGTTCAGAGTATCAAGTCGCGTTGAGATGTTGCACATTCCAAATTTGACGAGGCAGTCTCGAAGTATTCGTCATAATCAAATTTATGCCGTTTTCCGGTGGGTGGGTGTGCGAATTCTAAGGTACTGACATTTAAATAGGTGTTGCGGTGTGAAATTGTTGGCCGTCCGTCTGTCGTTTAGATAGTCTTCTTTTCTCGTACACGCACAAATCTCTCGATTCATGATTACAAAAATTACGTTCGTTAAATTTATCTAGAACCAGCAAATTTACGACGTCTTCCCGGGAAGCAACAAATTTGTAATATAGCAATTAACACGCACAATGCGAAATAATAATAATGTGGACGATAATCTAATTCAGGAAATAGTAAATGCCTTTGAGTACCGTTATTTGTGCAATGTTTCGGCGTTATTTGAACTCGTTCAAGAAAAAAGGATCGCGTTACATTGCGTGGAACATATTGTTTCTTTTGGGTTTCGGATTATGGATAGCTCTGTGCATAAGTAACATGCATCACGTCGACGATTCGACGAAGGAGGAAGGTAATCTTTACGTATTTATCAAGTCAGTCTGTTTAATTAATAGTGTATGATGGATTTCGTCAGCTGCGTTATTTTGTTTCCAAAATTCCACCCTTGGAATTGAATACAATGCGTCGGTGATAACAGAAGCGATGGAGGAGATGTTACACGTTACAACAGTAAATTACGCGTTGCACAATTTGATAGTAATTGTAAGAACTGTGCTCCAGTACGTCCAGGTGTTTGTGTCCATGTCGTTCATGATACTTTTTGCTTGTTCAAATGAGTATGTGAGAAAAATAACACGAGCTTGGAACAATGTGTAAGTAGAGAAATTTGAACCGATGAAATCGATGACCAATTATTCTCTTCATTCAAATGTACTCTCACAGGGTGTCTAACTTTTGCGCAGTTGTCTCTCGATTTACGATGAGGACTCATAATAAGAACGTTGATAAAAATGGTTGTACTATTTCGGAGTCAAAACACAATGGAAATTCTGAAATTAACGCGGAATGTGTGGAGACGGAGTTTAGGTATGAGAACAAAAACGAATGGACATTGGAACAGACGAAATGCGTAAAGAAATCGGATGCAAATATAAATACTGTACAGAGTGAAATTATATTTAGCAGTTATACACTATTGCTCTTCAACAATTATGACCATCATCAGTGCTTTCGTAGTCCTCTATTAAAGAATCGTTTGTCGAACAAGTATCTTGTAGATCAACGTTTGGATCATACAAGACGTAGTTTAAAAGTTACGAATAATTTTAAAAAGCATGATGTTATATATAAAAAAATCATGCGCAGAGGCATAGTTAGCTCTTCGCCGGAATTTCAGAAATTCTTAGCAAATTTGAAGAGTTCCCAACTCGTTTACCCATGCACGTTAGAAGTATCGACGGATTACGTCGTTCGTATAAAATCGATTTACAAATAGCTACCTCGAGAGCGTCATTTTAAATAAAATACATATTGTAATTATATATTTGTACAACGTGTTTATTTTCTCTTAGAAGTATTAACATCGTATTTTAATTTGTTATCAATATAAACATTCGAACGGTACATTGAGGAAGATCGAATACATCATTCATCCGATTACAATGTTACTCATTGATATTTGTACAAAGATTTTCCATGAAAACATTTTCATGAAAAACGCGTAACAAATAATTAATTGTGTGAAATTCATCGAGAATTTTGCAATCCGACTAAAAGTAAATCTAATTTAGATGAAAAAATAATTTATTCTAAAAATACTATCGTATATCTTAAAACATCTTACATTAAACTATTTACACATTATCTTACGATGTAAAAAATGGAGGAAGTATGAGGTGTTGTAAAAGACCAGTCGATTATATAAAACAGAATACAAAGAACAGATGACCATTCAAGTCGTTAACTTTAATGAAATATTGCTGGATGATACTTTATGTACTATTTTGTAAGACTGTTCGCGTCCTTTTCGCGTTTCCCATTTTGCAACTGTTAACGTTGCTGGCGAATCTCAGCGAGTTCAGTGTTTCATTATAACACTCGTCTAAAGGCGATACGTTCAGTAACATCAAAGTTTTCGAGTTACCACCTAAGGACGGCATCAATAGATGCGTAAGCTTCGAATTTCTATACGGGATGTGTTCTTGCTTCTTTAAAAGAGCAAGTATCACGTTGCCCAGATTTGCCAGCGACTTGTTGATGTTTTTTGTTTCAGTCACTCGTACAGACTCCTCGTTCTTTAATCTTTCCGAACCCGCCAGATCGACCAAATTCAAGTTTCCTATCGAGACCTCTTCTTTCGTTTTATGCGTTCCGATAAGCTTTATTCTCGCCACAGAATGCGACCTCGATGATCTGTAATATAAAATTTTCGCATAAAAACATGTCTACGCTGTTGTTTCAACCACAGAAGGTGGAATTACCGTTCGTTCGATTGGGTAGCTGCAACCGCTCTGTTACGTTGCGCTATTAAAAGACACTCGTGTAACTCTTCGGGGCTATGAATTTCCTCTACTTGGAGATTAGTGACGAACAAATCGTGACCCTTGGGGTCAGCCATTCGAATGTCGTGATTCTTTGGTTGACAATCCAGTAAATCAACAATATGCTCGTTGTAGATTTCAAGAAAACTGGCTTCTATTCGGTATTCCCAACCAAGTAATTGAAACTCTTTCATTTCTTTAAATATATGCCGTACCTGATGTCAAATAAATGCATATATATTTATTTATACTGTCATCGTGGATATAAGATCCTGAAAATTTAAATACATACCGTTCTAGGTATCATGCCTTCTGTCTCAATATCAGGTAAACCTTCCATAGTGTAAGTTTTGCCAGAACCAGTTTGACCGTACGAGAAAACGCAAACGTTATATTCTTCCAACGCAGATTGTACCAACAACGCTAATTCTTCAAAGATACCTTCTTGTTTCACGGTTGGTGGAAACACTTTATCGAAAGAAAATTCTTGTCGATTTGCTCTGCACTTCCCGCTAGCCACACTCGAGCTATCGAACTTGCCGACTTCAATAGTGCATTCATCTATGAAGTTCAACGTACACATCCTGTAGGAAACAAAAAAATATTCTCAAGAATCCGTTAGATATCAATATAATGTAAAATACATACGGTTTCCCAAGCTCTTCGTTCGTTCTGGGACGAACCCTACAGAACACTCTGATGTTTCCTTTCATCTCTTGAATTGCTTTACGCAGTACTCGGCGATCTTTATCCATGGTGTGTACTAGAGTCTGTAAATCTGTTTTCAGTTTCTCGAGGTCTTCATTGATTTTCATTTGAGTATCTAAATTCAATTGTAAATCTTTTACTACGGCTTCGTGCTTACTAATTAGAGTTTCCTGGCTGCGACACTTCTGTTTAAATTGGTCCAGGATGCTTGAAACGTTTTGAACTGTTTCTTCTGACTCTTTTAATTGTTTCGTTAAACTTTCGTTTTCTTTATGAACTTTATTCATCTCCTCTTTCATTTCCTTAAGGTCCTTGTCCAGTTTTTCGTTTAAAGTTTCATATTCCTCTGCCTTTTTTTTATACGTGCTCTCAGTTGTCTTCAAGGAGTTCAGTTGTTCTTCTAATTCACTGCATTTCGATGCAGTCTCTTTAAATTGTTGTCTCACATTAGACAATTCGTCACTTGCTTGGGCCAATCGACCCTTCAAGTCCCACTTCATAGGCTTGACAGGTGCACCACTATTTTGTGTCTTCCCAACTCTCGTAGTCTGACTAGGTTTGGCAGTGTTTGTTAATGTAGTACCAGTTCTTGTTGAAGTAGTTGTCACTTTGGCTACAGGTCTAACATATGGTTTCTTAACATCCCCGTGTACTGTGGAGGTTGTAGCTGGCCTTTTCACAGCTCTAGTATTAATGGAAGACATGGTTTTTGATCTGGTAAGAGTCTGCTTGGAGGGAGCCTTATTTTCAGTTGCACATTTATCAGTAATATTCATAGTACTCTTGCATTTCTTCAAAGTTTCACTAGAGCTTTTTTGTGGCTGATTATTCTTATCTTTCAGCTCTTTATTAGTGTCCATGTCTGTTTTAACTTCCTTTATTGAATTAATTACACTCTTCACAGTACTTGGTACATTAAATTTTGGTTTTGGTAGTCGTGACTCCATCTAAAAATCATTGTTAACAAAACTGAGAAATAGAGTAAAGGAAATAATCGAAATAAAAGTGAAGAATATGAAGGAAAGGATTTACTCAATAGAAGCTCAAATATAAATTATCAAAACATTTAAACGCATGATTTAATGTTTAACAAATGAATCTACCATTCATGCATCCACAAATCCAATTCTGTTATACTTTCCAACGC